TGAACTTGAGTCACATAATTCAATCCCTCACTTGAATCACAAGTTTATAAAGAGAGAGCACAGATTGTGGAAAGAGCTTTGAACTTGAGCCTGGACAGAGGAGCTGGGTTTTAGTCCTAGCTCAATTTATTACTAATCTGTGAAGTGGGGATAGTAACATCAAGCCTCATTACCTCCCAAGGGTTTTGCTAGTCTGAAGTAGAATGGCCTTAAAATGCTTAACAAAAGCCTAACAATGCTTTGCAGCTGTTAAAAACATCTCATATATACTGACATATAAAAAAAACCAGAGATACATGAATGATTGTTATAGTCTTCCTGTGGATTTTGTTTTTAAAAGAAAAATAAGATATACTTTATGTAAAAAACAACAATCAAACAAAAAAAGTTATGGAATAGCATGAATGATATAATTCCATTTTTATTTTTTTAAAAACTGCTAACATTAAACCAGAGCATTTAACAATGGTATGAAGAGAGGGATTAATGGAGCAGAACCTGTCATTTATTTTATTTTATTGATGATTTACAGAGAGAAAGGGAGAGAGAAACATCGATCAGCCGCCTCCTGCACACCTTCCACTGGAGATGTGCCCGCAACCAAGGTATATGCCCTTGACCAGAACCGAATCTGGGACCCTTGAGTCTGCAGGTCAACGCCCTATCCACTGAGCCAAACCAGTTGGGGCAGCCTGTCATTTTTAATATTTTATATTTCTGTATGTATTTATATCTGTAATATACTTATATCAATATACTAGTATATATTTTAATATACCATTATGTAAACATATTTATATTCATATATTCATATTTTTTCTGTATTTGCATTATTTTACAATGAGTTCATATAAATGTATTGCAAAAAAAAAAATCACACTTTAAAGCAAATGTGAAATTTTTTTTTTTGTGAAATAATTTTTATAACATTAGTTCTGATCCCAAGCATGACAAATTTGTTTTATAATTCTGTTCTGTGGGGAAGTAGTGGCAAAAAATAAATAAAAAGGACAGGGAAAACCACAGGATTGGGGTTAAGGAGAAGAGAGATGGGGAATGGAACCTGGACCTAGCCTAAGGGCCATGACCATTAGCTGGGAAACCCCCTTCCCTCCCTGAGCAAGGACTGAATTTCCAGGAAGAGGTCATCCTCCAAGTTTCAGAATCCAGTACAGTTGGTCTTCATGGCCCAATCCTCCTGTCTCTCATCCATTGGTTCCTAGTTTCTTGTGATGTTTCTGCTCTCCTCAGAAGACCTCCAAATCAAATAATCACGTGTCCATCTGAATGGGAAGTCAGAAAATCAGGAGACTCTTAGTGAAAGATGGTGGTGTGTATCAAATCTGACACCAAAATGACCTCCCCACTTGAAGAGGAAATGAGTTCAAGTGGAACATACTAACATTATACTCAGCTGCTCACATGCCCCAAAGTAGAAGGCCTTTCAGATAGCTGGATACTTCTGTCTGGGCCAGGATCAAGGATAAACACTGCTAGGAATCACCCAAGCACTGGGATGAGTTGGAAAGTTCTACACCCACTTTTATAGCCCCATCCACTCATTCTCACACCCAAATCTGGATAGGCTTAGCTGGCTTAAAAAGTTAAAAAATAAAATATAAAAACAAACACTTATGTAGTGCTTACATTGTGTAAGCACTAAATACTATTCTAAGCACAAATATGGTAATGCATATAATGTCATAAGAGCATTTTTTATGGGGTAGAAGTTATAGTATCATCCCCATCTTCCAGATGAGGAAACAGGATCAAATTGGAACCCAGATAGTTGATCCTGTCTCCATGCTATTAACTAGTTCCCTATGCTCCTCTTAGCAGAGTATTATGAGCAGCATTTTCCAGGCAGTGTGCACCTACTAAACCAAGCCTTCATTTGACCCAAAAGTGGACCAAATAGCCAAGGCTAAATGCTCCCGTTCTCTTGCCCTTTTCCAGAGACACAGTTTGGGATAAGGGAGCAAGACTAGAGGACGAAAGGCAAGTAGGTAAAGGCCCAGGGGACACAGGCAGCACATGTCATAAAAGAGGGACTGGGGGGGCAGCAAAAGGCAAGGTTTAGCCCTAGCTGGTGTGGCTTAGTGGAGAGAGCGTCGGCCTGGGGACTGAAAGGTCCTGGGTTCAATCCTGGTCAAGGGCACATGTCCGGGTTTTGAGCTAGATCCCCAGTAGGGGGCGTGCAAGAGACAGCCAATCAATGATTCTCATCATTAAAGTTTCTATCTCTTTTTCTCTCCCTCTCTAAAATCAATAAAAATCTATTAAAAAACAAACAAAAAAAAACACACAAGGCAAGGTTTAGCTTTAGCTTTGTCATTCACTTGCTACAGATTCTTTTGTTTTTTATTTTTATTTTATTTTTCCCCATTATCATTTATCCTCCTTGCTATATATCCTTTCTTTTTTTAAAAATAAGTTATTGATTTTAAAGAGAGAGGAAGAAGAAATGTGAGAAACATCTATCTGTTGCCTCCAGCATGTGTCCTGACCAAGAATTGAACCGATGACCCTTCAGTGGATAGGACAATGCTGAACCAATTGAGCTATATCAGTCAATCCCATATCCTTTCTTTAGGGGAATTTTCCTCTTGGCAAGGGGGAAAAAAAACTACCACCTAGTAATACCATGCATGGCATATAGTAGGTACTCAATAAAAAATATATTTATGACCCAGCCGGCATGACTGGTTGAGCATTGACCTATAAACCAGGAGGTCACGGTTCGATTCTGGGTCAGGGCACATGTCCAGGTTGCAGGCTCTAATCCCCAGTGGGGGGCATGCAGGAGGCAACTGATCAATGATGTTTCTCTGTCATGGATGTTTCTCTCTATATAACCCTCTCTCTAAAAATCAATAAAAACATATATATTTTAATGCCGAAACCGGTTTGGCTCAGTGGTAGAGCGTCGGTCTGCGTACTGAAGGGTCCCAGGTTCAATTCCGGTCAAGAGCATGTACATTGGTTGCGGGCACATCCCCGGTAGGGGGTGTGCAAGAGGCAGCTGGTCGATGTCTCTCTCTCATGGACGTTTCTAGCTCTCTATCTCTCTCCCTTCCTCTCTGTAAAAAAAAAATCAATAAAATATATTTTTAAAAAAACACAAAAAACAAAAACATATATTTTAAAAAAATATATACCTTTGAGTTTTTAATGCCCTGTTGAATCTGACAGAAAACCTCCCAACTCCATGTCACCAGCCCCTTTGAAGTAAGCTCAGCAGAGACAAAGGTAAAGGAACTGTCTACCCTCCAATTTCCTTACCACTTAGCAATGTTGGGCCCCTCATACCTACATGAGTAAATAACTACTGTTACCCAAACAACAAATCACTAACCAGGCTCTAAAAGGTAGTCTAATAGCTGCTAAAAGGACAGCTCTAAAAAAGCCAGGTGTGAGCTAGCCCACCTCCTTTCCAGACATTTACTGAGCACAGCTTTGGGCAAAGCAGCACTTATGTGCATAAACGGGCAGACAAAGGCAAATAACATATAATTTCCTCTTATCCTTCAGGAGATCATGGTATGGTAAAAGAGAGACAGAAAGTCTACAAATAACAATAAAATAGATCTAGGTCCAGCTCAGGGCTAGAAAGATGTGGAGTTATTGCAACAGACTCAGTCTTAGCTTCAAGATGGGGGAAGGCAAAGGTATGTTTTTCTATACTTAACCTCAACTTGTATTCCCTGCAGCCTGGGTGGGGGAACAAGTGTTTTTTTCTGCTCTGAGTAGGGACCTGAGACCACCACCCATTCCTCCCCCTCAGCCTTACCCTGCAGAAGACCATCCATGCTGCATTCTTCTCGCACCAGCTGATGTTATCTCTCCGCACAGGTTAGAACTTGCAGGTCTTGGAACATCTTGCATCTCCCTGTCTGGGAAGTAGTCTGGGACCCAGGGAAAGGTTGTCAATCCCTTTCCAGAACAGGTGGGTCCCCCATGCCCATCTCAAGCACATTCCAGGACACACCCTTGAGCCTGCCCTCCCTCCCTCCCTGCCCGTCTTAAAGTTGGCTCTGCTTCCCCTGAGAAGCCCAGGTGTCGGTGGGAGGAGTAAAGGCAGATACCATCTGAGGTGAGGCAGGGAGGGGCCAACAAAACTGGTGTTCCCACTGGTACTGTTTCCTGCCCTGATGGCTCCCTCACCCTCACTCAGTCTGGGTGGGGAAGAGTCAGGTACAGACAAGATGTCCCAGTCCCTCAGTTATTCACTGCTCTCTCCCCTTGGCAGCCCTTCACTTAGATTTCATGCAAAGATACAGGACCGGGTGGGCCCAGGTGATGCTGGACAAGTAGCACCTTCACAGCCCCAGAGGCAGAAAACAGGTAGCATGCACGTGGGGAGCTGCAAGCTTCTCCCTGTAGGAAGGCCCCGAATTTGCCCCAAGGGGTGGATATAAAAGCAGCCCAAGCCCCTGAAATCTTTGCTCAGTGGCTTAGTCATCCACCCCACACGCTCCAGAGATTGTCTCACCCTGGCAGTGGAGCAAAGGTTTTGCTTGGCAACTGGAGAGGATGCCTGTCCCCAGGGTAACAAGATACGGAGGACCTAGTAGCTTTAGGCATGTCCCACCCAGTTCTGCTTTAGAAAATTCCAAAACTCCCAGTTTAAGCTGGATACAGTCTTAGGCTACGAATACAAACATTCTGCTGATAACTCCACCTCTATCTTTACCAACTGTCCACCCACCAGAAACTACTGAGGTGGGTACAGGTCAGGATGAGTAAGTCAAAGCAATGATCCGTGAAAAGTGTTTATTTTTAAATTGAAAGGGGAAAGGGAGTAACACAGAGGCAACTTTTGGCATCTTCTTTCCAGGCTATCACCCCCATGTACTCCCCAACCCAAAGCACTGGCAGGAGGGGCCCCGAGAACAGGCTGAGGGGCCAGATAGTCCCAAAGTCAGTCAGAGAGGGATCTGTACAACCCTGGAGAGGTGGAAGTCGAGAGTCTGTCCCAGCCCCCCTGTCTTGAAACAGAGTTAGAGCTCAGGGGCATAGGGCTCCCCGTTGGGTGAGGACACCCGCAATTCAGCATCATGCCTCACCACGGTAAAGAGCCCCACCACTGCCAGCAGAGCCATCACCATGACAGCAGAGCAGATGCTGAACATGTTCCGAGTGCCTGTTTTGCGATCACTATCGTGAAGGACGAGGAGCCCCAGGCAGGCCAGTAAGTGCAGGGGCACCCGGAACCAGTTGAGTACACCAGCTTGCTCGGTCTCCGGGATCACCTTTCTCCGCAGGAAGCTCATGCTGGGAAAGTACAGCCCACAGGCCAATTCGATAAGTAGGAAGGCTATGAAGGACTCCACGGGACTCTCCTGGCCTGGACTGGTGGAGAAGGTCAGCATGAAGAGGGAGAAGACAACGATGAGGACAGCAAGGGAGAGCAGGTGCATAGGCTGAAGGTGGTACCTCTTCGAGGTAGCGATGCGATACAAGGAAGAGCCGAGCAGGCTGGCCGCCATGAAGCTGGAGAAGATGATGCCCAGTGGGGCCCCGTGTGGGTCCAGCACAGGTGTCCAGAGGAAGACAAAGATGAAGATGACACTCTCAAACAGGGCTTGTATGGTACCTAGCAGCAGCACACGGCGGTCGGACAGGAGGCAGCGCAGGCCCCCAGCACAGGTCCTTGAGAAGGCGCGCTGCCGATCATAGTTCTCTCCCCAGTTGTGAAGGGCCAAGGCCCCAGCCAGAGCCAAGAGAGGGATGGCAGCCACAAAGGGAGCTACAGGCCCTAGTCCCATCCAGCAGGCCACAGCCTCGGCTGCCACACCTGCCACGATAGCCAGCACATGGTTCCAGAAGGCAGCGCGGGCAAAGGTAGCTGGGATCCACTCAGCAGGGAAGTCGTGCCGCTCCAAGTGCTCATGGATGTACCAGGCCTCGAAGGCAGAGAAGAGCAGGGCGGTGGACAGCCCGCCGAGCGCTCGGCCTACCAGCAACACAAAGTAGTCCCGAGAGAGTTTGGTTAAGCAGCACAGGGAGTACGTGAGGGAGAAGAGGACACAAGACTTCTTTCGGCCCAGCCAATCCACAAGGGAGGAGGCCACCAGTCCAAAGAGGACCGTGGAGGCAAGGCCACAGACATAGAGGATGGCAATCTGACCCTCCAGGAAGTGGTAATGCTGATAGAGTTTATAGAGGTAGGGGGCCTGAAGCCAGTCGGCTGCCAGGGCCAGGAAGTAGACCTGATAGAAGTCCAGTTGAAACCGAACGAAGGAGGGATTGCTGCAAGCCCTTCCCGGGGGCTTAGCCCGGCATCTTGACAGCTCCAACCCCAGGCAGGAGGTCAGGAGGACCACAAAGACAAGGTAGGCAGTCACCAGCATGGCGGGCCCCCGGACGACCTGGGGAAAACAGGGGGTTTCAGAGTCACATCCATGGCCCAGGCAGCACGGTCAAGGGGCTGGGTGCCCAAGCAGAAGGCAGCTCCACCCTACCCTCTGACAAGCGCACTTCCCCACCCCTCAACTCCACGCCCCCAGAGCTCAGACCGGAGGGACCAGTTGGGTGGGTGGGAGGAGTGGCCCGCCAGAGCGGTCTCCTAGGAAACGGTGGGGCAGGGAGGGGCAAGAGGCGAGGGGAAAAGACTGAATATCCGCCCCACCCTGGCCTGCCATAGCAAAGAAGTCCCTTCAATAGCCCAGCCCCTGCAGTTAAAGGGCTCTTGCCCTCTTCCACAACAACTTCTGCACACTTCCTCCTCTTACCTCCCACCCTAACTGGGGAGCCCATCTTTTGCCCTCAAGGCCTCGTCTCGGGCCGGGGCATCCCTCCCGCGGGCGCGGGCCTCTATCGTGTCGCTTCAGGGTAAAGACCGTGCATCTGCGGTTCCCCCTTCTCGAGGTCACGGGAACCCCCTGGCGCCCCCTAGCCTCCGCCCAGCGCCCCTGCGCCGCCACACCCGCTCGCGCCTCCCTCGGACCCCGTCCCACCTGCTGCCCCGGTCTGCGGGGACACTCCGGACACGTCCGGCTCCAGGCCGCCCGGCCGCCCGGCCCGCTCCACCTCCGGCTCCGGCTCGGGTTCCAGCGGCGCGCCCGCCCCTCACAGCCTGCTTCCGGGAGCCTGGCAGGCCTCCGGTCGCCGCCATGATGGTCCCGTCACGTGACGGGGGACGTAGCGCGTGAGTCCCGCCCCTCGCCCCGCCCCCGCGGTCTCGCCCCGCCCCGCGCGCCCCTCAGCTCCGGGCGCCTGGTCGGGGGGGGGGGGGGGGGGAAACACGATGCCTGGAGGCAGGAAAAGTCGCTGTTTTCCTCCTGCCTGTCCACCGCCTCCTCTCCAAACCCACATCTGAAACTCTCGGATACCTGCGGGCCACCCCGAAATAAAAGGCTATTTAATCCCTCTTTTTCCGCGCCGTAGGTCAGAGGGCACGACTGTGCCCAGGAAAATGCCCGCAAACCCGAGGCTGAAGCTCCCCGAGGAGCACCGCTCCCCTCAGCCGAGATGGGTCTTCTGTTCTCTCTTCTCACGTCGTCCTGATGTCCAGGCCAGGAGTCAGCGGCGGTGACCTCTGGGCCGGAAGTCAGAACGGCCCGGCACCGGCGGGCGGCGGTGTGGTGTAAGGACCGGGCCGCGGCCGCGGGCAGACCGAGGCTCCATCCCAGCCCTGTCCCCGACCAGCTGGCTGGCCCCGGGCAAGCCGCAGCCAGCCGCACAACTAACTCCTCAGTGTCCCAGTTTCCTCACCTGGAGTCAGAGGGAGCAGTGCCCAAGTAAAAAGGCTAAAGTTCAGCAGCAGCAGCACAGGGTTAGGAACTTCAGCCCCGGAGCGCGCTAACCTGTGGTCACTTAAACACCGTACACTTGCCCATGTCTGTGTGGCTCAGTGGATACAGAGTGGTCCTGCAGCGTCCCGGTTCGATTCTGGTCCAGGGCACATGCCCAGTTGCGGGATCTATCAGCAGATAGGGATCAGCAGCAGGAGGCAGCTGGTCAAGGATTCTCTCATCATTGAGGTTTCTATCTCCCTCTCTCTTCCTCTCTGAATGATTCTCTCTCATCATTGAGGTTTCTCTCTCTCTCTCCCTCTCCCTTCTCTGAAATCAATTAAAATATATTTTTTAAAAACCAAACTGTGGCCGGGACCGGTTTGGCTCAATGGATAGAGCGTCGGCTTGGGGACTGAAGGGTCCCGGGTTCGATTCTGGTCAAGGGCATGTACCTTGGTTGAGGGCATATCCCCAGTAGGGGGTGTGCAAGAGGCAGCTGATTGATGACTCTCTCATGGATGTTTCTAACTCTGTATCTCTCTCCCTTCCTCTCTGTAAAAAATCAATAAAATATATTTTTTAAAAAAAAAGTAAAAACAAAACAAAACAAAACAAAAAAACCCCAAACGGTGTTACCTTGGAAAAGTTAACATCTCTTTGGCTTTAATTTGATCTCCAGGCCCTCCAATTGTTTCCCATTTCGCTAAGCACAAAAGCCAGAATCTTTATAATGGCCTACAAACCCCTCTGTCCTGTTGGCTGCTACTTCTCTGACCTCATCTCCTACCATTCTCCATTCCCCTCCTACTCTGTCTATACTGGCCGTCACCAGGGCCTTTGCACATTGTGCCCTATGAGGTTCTGGTTCTCCCAGATATCTATATGGTTCCCTCCCTCAGGGCTCCAGTTCTCTGTTCAAATGTCACTTTATCAGACGGGCCTTTCTTGGCCATCCTGTCTAAAATAGCAACAACAGCCGAAACCGGTTTGGCTCAATGGATAGAGCGTCGGCTTGGGGACTGAAGGGTCCCAGGTTCGATTCCGGTCAAGGGCATGTACCTTGGTTGCGGGCATATCCCCAGTGGGGTGTGTGCAAGAGGCAGCTGATCGATGACTCTCTCTCATCGATGTTTCTAACTCTCTCTCTCCCTTCCTATCTGTACAAAATCAATAAAATATATTTAAAAATAAAAAATAATAAAATAGCAACAACAGCTCCACCACAGCAAATCTACCTGCTTTCCTTCTAACACTCTATTCTCCTTTGCTGCGTTTTCTCCATTGCACTTACATCTGGCATAGCATATATTTTTACTTCTTTGATTATTTACTATCTCTGCTCTGCAGATTTTTATCTGCTTTGTTCACTTGTATTTCCAGTACTTAAGACAGTTACTGGTACATTTTTAAAAATTCAATAAATATTTGATAAATGAATGAATAAATTAATCCATGAAATTACCCTAAAAAGTGCTGACCTACCCTAGCTGGTGTGTCTAGATTGGTTGGAATATCATCCCCTGTACCAAAAGGTGGCCAGTTTCATTCCAAGTCAGGGCACATACAAGAATCAACCAATGGTCCTAGCTGGTTTGGTTCATTGAATAGAGCATTGGCCTGTGGACTGGGGTCCTGGAAAAAGGCACATGCCTGGGTTGTGCACTCGATCCCCAGTGAGGAGTGTGCAGAAGGCAGCTGATCAATGATTCTCTCTCATCATTGATGTTTCTATTTCTCTCTCTCCCTTCCTCTCTGAAATCAATTAAAAAAACAAACAAAAAAAAAACACTATTTTTAAAAAGAATCAACTGCCGAAACCAGTTTGGCTCAGTGGATAGAGCATTGGCCTGTGGACCGAAGGGTCCCGGGTTCGATTCCAGTTAAGGGCATGTACCTTGGTTGCGGGCACATCCCCAGTAGGGGGTGTGCAGGAGGTAGCTGATCGGTGTTTATTTCTCATTGATGTTTCTGACTATTTATCTCCCTTCCTCTCTGTAAAAAATTAATAAAATATATATTTTTAAAAAGAATCAACCAATAAATGCATAAAAAAGTGGAACAACAAATTGATCTCAATTTCTCTGAAAAAAAAAATTAAGTTTGGAGCATAGCGGGTGGGAGGGTCTGAGATTACATCTCAAAAGGGAACAGTTGAGATTTGTATCCAAGCTCCACAGTTCCTTCATCCTTAACTGGCAAACTTCTAGAGAGTAGGAAGGGGTAGTGGTTCCCATGCCTTCATCTAGAAACACTAAGACAAAAATCATTTTTCTCAGGGAGCAGGCAAAGCGCTGAGGGAAGAGGCCTGTTACCTACATGACCCAAAGCCCTTACAAAGTCCTTCATGAGGTGTCCCAATTCCCTTATTATGTTACAATATTATCGCATTGGGTATAACCAACATTACTGGTGAGTGTTCAGAATCTTACTGTTCAACAGCACAAAATTTTCCATTTCAGTAAGATTTAATAGGTCAACTTTTTCTGTCATTTGGAATAACAGATGTGAGACTGCTAAAAACTTATATAGAGGAAAAACAGCTTCACGAAGCTCAGAACCAAAAACTAAGGGGTGGGGGAAACTCCCTCTTTTATGGGAATTTTTTTTTTCTTTCTTTCTTTTTCTTTTCTTTTTTTCTTTCATTTTTATGGAAATTTTTAATATGATACTGGTGATAGTGTGAGAAAATTTGATTTTTATAGGGATAGAAATTAGACTAAAATTGTTATTACTGAAAGCCAATGTCACTATCTAATATATACTGTATATTTATTTAAGAGAAGAAAAGTATTACTTTTGTGTAAATTTCTAATCTGTAGTATAAAACAAATTATATAAGTGAAAAAAAATCATGATTTCTCTAAGGTCATTCAGTAAGTGAGGGCATGACTGACCCAAATGCCCTCCATCCTAGTCCTAGACTGAAGCCCCTTGAACTCATGATACCCAGTCTCCCAATTCTTGGCAGTCTTTTCTTTGAGGATGGAGGTCATCCTGAATGAAGGCAGGGAATGGGACAGGATGGTCTTACATTTCTTGCCTTCTGTTTTCCAAGACTGAGGCCATTTTATTCAGAGCATATGACAAAGAGGCTTAAAGCAAGATTACACTGTTTTGGATTATTTTTGTTTATATTAAGAACTATTCAAGATATGTTTGTTCTTTAAGGTTCTCCTTGCCTTGCAGAGCTGGGAAGCACAGCTGGAAAAGTCCTAAACATGAGGAATGTGCCAGTGGAGGACTGGAGGGGATGAAGGGCAGCCTGTGAGCACAGTCCATCTCTAGTACCTGCCTCCAGTGGAGGGCTGGGGTCTGTGCGGGGAATCACACAGGGGAGGTGGGGAGGATGCTCTGGGAGTTAGTAGGAGCCATGCTGACCAGAGGAGCATCATTTAAAACTTTTATTACAAAAATACTCAGACAGCCGGGACCGGTTTGGCTCAGTGGATAGAGCATCGGCCTGCGGACTGAGGGGTCCCGGGTTCGATTCCGGTCAAGAGCATGTACCTGAGTTGCGGGCACATCCCCGGTGGGGGGTGTGCAAGAGGCAGCTGATTGATGATTCTCTCTCATCGATGTTTCTAACTCTCTATCCCCCTCTCTTCCTCTCTGTGAAAAATCAATAAAATATACTTTAAAAAAAAAAATACTCAGACAGACACAAAGGTAGAGAGCATAGTTCTGTGAGCCTTTATATCGTTAATTCAACAAATTTGATTTTGTCACTTTGTTCCTTCTACTCCTTTCGTTCTGTCATTTTTTTATTTGCCAAAATATTTATCCACTCCATACTTCCATATGCATCTCTAGAAAATAAGAACCTTTTTTTTTTTTTACATGACCCCCAAAGCCATTTTCACATCTAACAAAATCAGCACTGATTCATTGGCATCATAAATACCGGTCCATAATTAACTCTCCTCAACTGCCTGGCAATGTCTTTTTACATCTGGGTTGTTCAAATCAGGAACCAAACAAGGTCCTCATGTTCCATGTGGCATTTGTCTTGTAATGTCACCTCTCTCCTTCTTTCCCCAGTCATTGACTGGTTGAAGAAACTGGGTCAAATATCCTTTAGAATGTCCTCCATTCTGGATGTGTCTTCTTACTTACTCATCGTGTCATTTAATTTGTTCTTCTATCCCTAGTATTTCCTGTCAAATGGAGTTTTGATTAAAATCATGTTCAGTGTTTTGTTTGGCAAGAATCCTTCATAGAGAGAGCTGAATACTTCAGGCTGCATTACATCATGGGTGTACAGTGTGTGGTTGTGGCCCTTTTAGTAATGCTAAGATTCACTGAGGGCTCAGGTGGTGACAGCTTGATTTCTCCATTGTAAATTTCTCCATCAACCATCATACTTGGCTTTATCCATTGAAGATTCTTGCTTTAATCAATTATTTCATAAGGGTTACAAATGCTGATTTTTTTTTTTCTGATTCCATATTCCTTCCATATTAGCTGACATTCTTCCGTAAATAAGAAGTTTTCACCACCATTTACAATTATTTGGTTACCCTAAAATACAGTTTATACAGGAAAGGCAGCATAAATGATTAATTCTTTTTCTATTTAATTGCCAATTTTCAGAAAAAGAAGTTGGGAGAAGCATCATTTTTTAAAAATTTCAGCTTAGAGCTGAATAGGGATAGATGGGGCACCTGTGTCTAACCCTCATTCACTTCAGGAGTGTGTGTGGGACAGACAGATACTAGCGGGCTTGGTGTCCTGGCCCTTGCACAGCAATGAGGTGGGCATGTGACTGACTTGGCAGCTGCAGGATAGAGAGAAAAAAGACAGAAAGAGAGGTAGGAAGTGAAGAAACAGCTAGACACAGAACACAGGAAGAGAGATAAAGACAGAAAAGGAAACAGAAATGAGAGATCACAAGTGAAATGCACCCAGAAGCAGAATAGAACAGAAAAGCAGAGCAATTCAAGGTGGATTGAAAGACCAAGGAAGAAAATAGACATGAAGACAAAGATTGAGACAAGAAAGGAGAAAGAAAAGGACATACATGTTAAGTAGATTTAAAATTAAAAGGGTAAATAGAGGGAGGAAGAATTAGAGCACTAGAGAGTAGGGAAAACACATATCAAGACATATGTTAGTTCAAAACCGGTTTGGCTTAGTGGATAGAGCATCGGTCTGCGGACTGGAAGGTCCCGGGTTCAATTCCGGTCAAAGGCATGTACCTTGGTTTCGGGCACATCCCCAGCAGCTGATAGATGATTCTCTCTCATCGATGTTTCTAACTCTCTATCCCTCTCTCTTCCTCTCTATGAAAAATCAATAAACTATATTAAGAAAAAAAAAAAAAAAGACATACCTTAGGTGAAGGCAGAATGACCCAGTGATAGAGAGAAAGAAGGAAGCAGAAATGGAGAGAGCAACATGGAAAGACAGAAGGAAAGATAAATGAAGGATAAAGAGAGATATAAAGAGGGGGGGAAACCCCCACAAAGGGTTCCAGAGAAGGAGACTGAGAAGAGAAGACTGAAATGTGGAGGCTCAAGAACTCTCAGCTTAGGGTCCAATCCCAGGCAGATACCCAGACTCTCACTTCCAGCTTCCTCAGGGTACTTTTTTCAACCTCCCAGTCAGACTCCCCAGGGACACGGGACTCAGAACTGGCCATGTCCTGATTCAAGGGTTCCCAGCTTCCCTCACCCCATGTCAGAGCGCAGAGATGTTGCAGATGGGATTAATCCTGGAAGATTGAGGTCACGAAGCTGGGCTGGCACTCAGAGATTTGCAAGACAGGATAGAGAGCACCAGATTCCTAAAAGCAAAGGACCATGTATGATGTCATGATATCCAAGGGAAGGGAGGAGCCAAAACCCCTCTGTTCAGCCTCCTCTTCTGGTCCAAGATGACAGGTAAGGGGCCCAGAGACTCCTGGGTCAGTTAGGGATATGCGTGGAGGTTCAAGGGACAAATAATGGCCTCTGGGCTGAGGGTCCCCCACCACCTCTAGAAGAAGAATCTATCTTATCTATGTGAACTCAGAGGAGCCAAGGAGGGTCCTCAGGGGAGACTGACTTGCTTACCTTCAGAAGCCTTGGAGGAGGCTCTGAGAGCAGTTTCCATTCCAAACGTTGCAGAAGGAGAGTTTCTGGAACCAGCAGGAACATGCCCAGACACTAACTTCAAAGCAGATGCCTGTTCTCACCCCCAGGACTCTGAGCAGTGTGCCGCCTTTACCTCCTGAGTGAGGCGTCCAGGAGCCGCCTCTTCCTCCACCCAGAGCTTCTGCCTCCCGCCTGAGGAAGCAGCCACAGAAGGGCTCCAGAAGACTGACAGTCTCTTTAGGGGGCAACAGCCCGCCTCCCATCCCTAGACTATCAGACAGTGCCACCGAGAGGCGCGTTGTCCCCTGAAGCAGCAGCTGCAGTGGCCCACGGAGCCTGGAGGCCCCAAGGCAGGCCCTCTGCCACAGCCACAGTGGTTACTATAGGCCAAACAGCAGCTGGGACAGGCAGACCGGCCCTTGGCACTAGGGTAAATGGGGCAAGGTGAGGGATGGCAGTAGGTCAAGTGAGGATCAGAGCATGGGACACAAGTGCTATGGTGACAAGTTGAGGGAGGACAGGCAGGGCAGGAGCAGGTGCAGGGTGGGCCAGGGAGGCTGGGACAGGAGGGGCAGGGAGCTGCGTCAGAGGGACAGGCAGTGCAGCTGCAGGTGGGAGGAGGACAGGTGGGGCAGGGGCAGGCACAGGCAGAGGGAGGACAGGACAGACAAGGAGAGGCAGCTGGTGGGACATGCCCAGAGGGTGCAGGAGGCTGCTGGTGGGTGGCCTTCTTGTTTCGTGGCCCCAAATGTAGGCCCAGAGAGAAGTCCATTCAGCTGCAGGATCTGCCAGGCTGGGAGTTGAGTGAAGGGGGGCAGGGGTAGAGTAGGAGGGGCAGACTGAGGTGGGGATGGGCGGTGGTGGTGAGGGGGTACAGGATTAAACCTAAGACACTGCTGATCCTTGTTGATCCTTCAGGGAGCTCAGACCTCTCCAATCAGCCCTCTTCTTGCAGGCCTGCCCAGCAATGCGCCCCTGGGAGCTCCTCTCCTGGAAGCCTCTCTCTGCACCAGACCACAGTGTGCCCTTCAAAGCGGATGGGCATTTGCGTGCCTTCAGTCCTTGCTCACACTGTTCCTTCAGCTCGGAGTGCCTTTTCTCTTTTCTCCACCAGGCAAGGTCCTATCGTTTCTGAACTCTTCCTTTTCATTTAATCAAAAAGTCTCCAGGCCTGACACCTGCTAGGGTAAGGATCCCAGCCCATTACTCTCCAGCCTGAATAGAATAGATGCTTCAGGATCCCGAACTGTCCCCAGAGGGACTAGGGAAGCAGCAGCAGCAGCAGCAGTGCTCTGAGACTGAGCCAGGGATACTGGTAGGAGCTGGCAGCAGAGGGGGTTGCCCGGGCTCTGGGCATTTCCAGAAGGGGCAAGTCCCAGGTGTAGGTGTGGGGATGCCTGGCTGCCTCCAGGAGCCTGACAAGCAGCCTGGAAAGACAGCTGAGTTTCCTCTTTTATTGAGCTTCCATAAAAGTGAGGGGTGGCATTGGATGGATATTAAAACCAAACAGGTAGCGCTGGCTGGTGTGGCTCACTCAGCTGGCATGTTCTCCAGTACACCAGATGGTGGTGGTTCCATTCCTGGTCAGGGCACATGCCCAGGTTTTGAGCTGAATCCCCATTGGGGTGAAGGGGTGTGCAGAAAGCAGCCGATCAGTGATTCTCTCTTATCATTGAGGTTTCTATCTCTCTCCCCCTCTCCCTTCCTCTCTAAAATCAATAAAAACATATTTAAAATAAAATAAACAAATGGCTGTTTTTTAAAAAACCAAATAGGTAAACAAACAAATACATTCGCTTATTTCAGAGCATGCAAATGGTGATGAAAAAAGCAGGGTGGCCAAAACCTGTTTGGCTCAGTGGATAGAGCGTCAGCCTGCGGACCGAAGGGTCCCAGGTTCGATTCCGGTCAAGGTCATGTACCTTGGTTGCGGGCATATCCCCAGTGGGGGACATACAAGAGGCAGCTGATCGATGACTCTCTCTCATCGATGTTTCTAGCTCTCTCTCTCCCTTCCTCTCTGTAAAAAAATCAATAAAATATATTTTTTTAAAAAAGAAAGAAAAAAGCAGGGTGATGTGATGTGATAAAAAGTGACTCAGAGAGGTGGATTCATCAGAAGGGGCAGCTAGACAGCTCCCAAATAGTCAGGTATGACAGCCCTTAAGGGTTTGGAGGAGATAAAATCTGTCAAGCCCTGGCCGACCATGGGAGGGTTGCCTGAGGCTGAATGGAACCCAGGAGAGACACAAGTCTAAGGGGATAAGGGTTGCTGGAGATTGCAATCTAAAACCTGATGGTTAGGGAAAGTGCTACTGAGAAATGACATTTTAGCAAAGACCTAAATAAAGTGAGGGAGCAAGTCATGGAGATCTCTAGTGCAAGAAAACCCCAAAGAGGGGGATAGCAGGTGCAAAGACCAAAGAGGAGTCATAATGGCAGAGGTAGAGAGCAAGGCAGAGGCCATGGGAGTCATGGTAGGGACCTGGATCTTATTCCAAGAAGAAGGGAAAACCACTGAGGGTTTTCGGCAAGAAAGTACTCAGGTCTTCTTGACTCTCTGCCTGCCCCTGGTTAGAATGTTCTGCTTCCTGAGAAACTGGTACAGTCATTCTGGGGGAAAGTTTGGCTTTATCTGATAAAGCTGAGATTGCCTCTACATACACTTTGACTCTTAGATTTGTAGCCTCAAAAATCCTTTATTTAAATTTTTATTGATTTCTGCCTGTCCCAGCTGCTGTTTGGCCTATCGTAACCACTGTGGCTATGGCAGAGGGCCTGCCTTGGGGCCTCCAGGCTCCGTGGGCCACTGCAGCTGCTGCTTCAGTGAGGAAGGGAGAGGGAGAGAGAGAAACAGTGATGTGAGGGAGAAATATATTTTTATTGATTTCAGAGAGGAAGGAAGAGGGAGAGAGAAATAGAAACATCCACTATGAGAGAGAATCATGGATCTCCTGCCTCCTGGGGATGGAGCCCACAACCCGGGCATATGTCCTTGACCAGAATCGAACCTGGGACCCTTCAGTTTGCAGGCTGATGCTCTATCCACTGAGCCAAACTGGCTAGGGCAAGGGAGAAATATTAATTGGTTGCCTCCTGTATGCACCCATGTTGCCAGGAGTTAAACAGGCACCCTCTTGCATGTACTTACTGGGAAACATGTACAAAAATATTTTTAGCAGTATTATAATAGCCCAAACTGAAAGCAACTCATCCATCAACAATAGAGTAAAAAAATAAATTGTGCTACTATGGAAAACAGTAAAAATTTAAAATAGAATCACCATATGACCCATCCATCCCACTTCTAGGTATTAATCCAAAGAAATCCAAAACATTAATTAGGAAAGATATATGCTCTCCTATTTTCATAACTATAGCCAAGATATAAAAGAAACCTATGTATCCATTGATATATTATTGGATAAAAAAATTTGGTACATATATACAATGGAATATTATTGAGTCATAAAAATTTACCGTTTGTGACAACATGGATGGACTCAGAGGGTATTATGCTAAGTGAAATAATCAGACAGAGAAATATAAATGCCATATTATTTTATTTATATGTGGAATGTAAAAACAACATAAACAAACAAACAAAACAGAAACAAACTCATAGATACAGAGAACAAACTGAGGCTTGCCAAATGGGAGCGGGGTTGGAAGACTGGATGAAATGAAGGGATTAAGAAGTACAATTTGGTAGTTACAAAGTGGTCATGTGGATGTAAAGTACAACATAGGAAATATAGTCAATAATATTGTGATAACTATGTATGGGGCTAGGTGATACTAGACTTATCGGGGATTGCTTCCTAAGTTATATAAATGCCTAATCACTGTGTCGTATACATGAAATTAGTATATTAAATATCAATTATAATTTAAAAAATTAAAAATAATAAGTAAATTGTGATATTTACACAACTGAATATTGCCCAATGATGAAAAAGATCAACTTGGGTATATCTCACAAATAAAATAAAAACAAAAAAGTAACATAATATCATTCCATTTATATAAACCTCAAAAATAGGCCAAGTGGAGCTATCGTGTTTACAGATACACACATAGGTGCTAAAACTTTCAAGAAAAACAAGGAAATAATTATCTCAAAAGTCAAGATGGTGGTTACTTCTTAGGGTACAGAAGGAATTATGGAAGGGACACCTGAGATGTAGGAAATACTCTTTCTTGGGTAGCAGTTGAATAAGTATTTATTTTATTCCAATTTATTTTGTACACTGTTCATAATATATTTATATACTCTTTCAGAAAGAGAAAATAAAAGTACCTCTTCTTTTTCTACTGCACGCCACCTCATTCAAATCATTCATGTTGAAGTTAGACAGTCCTAGTCCATACACCTATCTTTCCCACCCAACCTTGAGGACAGAAACCTTTCCAATATTTCCTTTTTAAAATATGTATATTTTTTATTTTTATTTTTATTTTTTTTAAATATATTTTATTGATTTTATACAGAGAGGAAGGGAGAGAGACAGAGAGCCAGAAACATCGATGAGAGAGAGTCATCGATCAGCTGCCTCCTGCACACCCCCTACTGGAGATATGCCCGCAACCAAGGTACATGCCCTTGCCCGGAATCGAACTCGGGACCCTTCAGTCCCCAAGCCGACACTCTATCCATTGAGCCAAACCAGTCCCGGCAAAAATATGTATATTTTTTATTGATTTCAGAGAGGAAGAGAGAGATAGAAACATCAATGATGAGAGAGAATCAATTGCTTCTGCACAGCTCACACCGGGGGTCGAGCCTGCTACCTGGGCATCGAACCATGATCTCCTGGTTCATGGGTCAACACTCAACCACCTAGCCACACTGCTCAGACATCTTTTCTGTATTTCTGGCACCTTTCATTGCCTGGTAGCCAGCAGATGCTCGATAACTATTTGCTGAATGGGATTAAATTGAACTTCCCCAAGTCTCTCATCCCACGTAGAGGTGAACAGCTGCAGAACAGGAGGAATACTTCCCGTCCTGGCGTGGCTCAGTGGTGAGCACCAACCTATGAACCAGGAAGTCAAGGTTTGATTCCCAATCAGGGCACATGCCTGAGCTGTGGGCTCGATCCCCAGTAGGGGGCATGCAGGAGGCAGCTGATCAGTGATTCTCATCATTGATGTTTCTATCTCTCTCTCCTCCTTTCTCTGAAATAAATAAAAACATATTAAAAAAAAAAAAAAGTGGAGAAAGCCAGCTGTGTTGAAGAGGATCCCTAAGATCTGGGTTCTCATCATAGCTCTGCCACTTCCTAGTTGTGTGATATTGAGTAAGTCATTTAATCTCTCTGGTTCTCAGCTCCCTCTTCTGTGAAATCAATATGATGTGAAATGGGTATGATAACTGCTAACTCTCTGGACTTCGGCGTGGATTAAGTGAGTAATGCATATGCCTAGCATAATGTCTGGAACATTTAGGTGCTCAACAAAGAATAGCTTCCCAATGCCCTCCTCCCAGCATCTTTTCTTCAAAGAAGTCCACTAGAAAGGGGCAGCCAAACGTCAAAGATGGTACCAGAGTGTGGCCCACATCCTTGGGCCCCTTGAGATTAAGGTGGAGATGGAGTCTGGTCAAGAGCTAGCAGATAGAGAGAGCTGATTGAAGCAGAACAGATCCCAGGCCGTTGGTGCGAGCTGGCAAGATTAGTGAGACAGGGTCTGGGAATTTCCATCTAGGGGAAGTCCCGGGTGTAGGTGAAGGGGTGCCAAATTGGCCTCACCCAACACAGTGGCCCCAGGGGA